CCTTGGTGCAGTGGGACCACGCCCAGACGTGGGATATCCCTAAAGCGGAACACTTCCTGTCGGGCTCGGGAGGCGCTGGTTCTGCGGCGGCGTATAACATTGGTAAGACGTGCGCTCGCAGCGTTTCAGTGAAAACGTTTTTCTGGTCTAACGCCGTGTCATCGATGTAACAGACGTCAGCCCGGAGTCTGCAGACCACTATCTCATTGGACACAGCATCGATGGGCGTGTCCTCTACCCGGCGACCGGTTACCTGGTGCTGGCCTGGCGCACCTTGGTGAGGAGTCTAGGGGTTGTCATGGAAACGACGCCCGTAACCTTTGAGGATGTGACCATCCACAGGGCCACCATCCTGTCAAACGCCAGTAAGTATGGGAGGCGTGGCTTGTTAACGGCTCGAACCACGATCGCATGACCTCGTCGAGCAGGTGAGGTCATGTGATCGGCCCAGTGCCTATCCTGTCAGTCCCAGTTTAACCAGTAAGAGATGATGTGTGAGATTGTTACAGCTCTGACCTGCCGAGCGTCGTAGTTACGCCACACTGACGATTTCACACGTTTAAATCCCTGAACTCGTGATTGGATGATGAAATCCTCGACGCTGGTTATTGGCCTCCGTGCTTCGTTTAACCACCGGCGCTCTGCGGCGCACCGGCGTGTTAAACCACGTCAAACGAGGCTTTTGTAACATTTTTCAGATTGAAAGTGAAATAATATCAAATATTGGCATTAATATTTGAAAATCTTCCTTGCTTGCTTCCTTGCTTCCTTGCTTCCTTCCTTGCTTCCCTCCTTCCTTCCACCTTGTATTAAATCCAGAAACCTTCAAGGAGACTGACGTACGTCTTTGTTTCGGTTGCATATCGATGTTGTTCTAGTTGAATTTGACCTCGTGATCATGTTAAAGATATTGTCTTTAACATCGAGCGTCACTGTGTCACACGAGGGTCAGACGCTGCTGCACAGCAGCTCAGTCGACTCGAGGGAGTCACTGACAGACGACTTCATTACTAAAATAATCAACAGCAACATCTTTTACATTTAATTGGTTTTTTGTGACTTTTATTGTGAAAAACCCTGATTTGATAAGTGCATTATCATTATTATTATTATTGTTATTGTTGTTATTATTATTATTATTGTTGTTATTATTATTATTATTATTATTATTATTATTGCTACAGTGGATGAAGGTGTTGACTGTGTGTCACAGGTGCGGTCCAGTTGGAGGTGCGTCTCATGCCCGCCACCAGCAGGTTCGAGGTTTCGGAGAACGGGAGCCTGACTGTCAGCGGTACGTCATCATCAGCACACAGACTGATGAAGATCCCAACGTTTACACATCGTTTACATTTGTAGCTGAAAATCACACAACATTATATCCACAAACATGTATTATTTAGTGCAGCGTCGTTTAAACGGGTTTCCCGTGTCGCTCGGCTGCTGATTGGTTCAGCACAGGCCGGCTGTAGCTCAGGTCACATGACACCGAGGTGAAGCTCTGTGACCAGAGCAGCAAAACCTCAGAGGTCTGTTAGTTGTTCCAGCGACAGAGTAAAACTTGACTTTCAGTACAAACTCGTGAATATTCAGAATCGCTGGTTTTCAGGTAAGGTGAGCATCCTGGAGGATTCGGCGCTCGATTCATTCAACGGTGAGATCAGCCGGGAAGCTGCCGACAGGAGCGACGCCTCGATGAAGCTCAACGCACACGAGATCTACAAGGAGCTCAGACTGCGAGGTTACGACTACGGGAAAACCTTCCAGGGCATCTTGGAGTCAAACACAGCAGGTACGCTGCGGCTTCTTGTCCTGCTGGGACACAAAAGGATGATTCTAGTTACACTCAGAGAAATGTTGGTAGGACTGGTTTTCTAATAATCTGATTGGCTGTTTCTAGGAGACCGTGGGAAGCTGGAGTGGACAGGAAACTGGGTGACGTTTCTGGACACCATGTTGCAGATGATCGTCTTGGGGCTGCCGGGTGGAGGTTTGCGTTTGCCGACCAGAATCCGCTCCGTGTGCGTCCATCCGGCTGCACACCTGGAAAAAGTCGGCGAGCACGCTGAAGGAAAGCAAGGTGTGTTTGCCTCGC